GACTACAATAACAATATATCAAAATATACAGTGCGACATAAGGAAGAAAATATCAAATGTTGTTGTTTCACTCAGGCAATAAAAAGAAAGTGACAGGAATTCCTTTTTACTCCTTTTTACTTATTGATTTCCTCCTACAGATAAAGCATAGTGGCTATGTCGCTTTCTGATAACTGTTCACAAAAATCCTACATTCATTCGGCTGAAGCCAAAGCAAATATCTCAGCCAGCACTCTACTAACTACTGAACCAGGCTCCCACTGAAGGTGGAAACAGGTGGAGACCACTGAGGCGGAACACACCTCGCCTGATTCAGGTTATTCCTCAGTTATCCCATACATTTATATACAGTACATTTTTCCCCCCTCCTTCACAGCCCTGGTAGTCACACTCGACCCTTCTTTTAACAACTGTAGCATCCCCCGGTCCCTCCTCCCTCCTATCTCTTTGCCTTAGGGCCGTGGGTGGTTCAAATAATTTGCTTAATTTGTTGCCATTCACTCTCAGGACATGGATCAAAGAACTGTTAAATTGCACTGACGTGGCAGCATCTCGGAGTGACTGAGAGTGGAAGGAGAGAGGGAGACAGAGACAGAGAGAGAGGTAAGCCCTGCAGCTAAAGGAGGAGACTTCCAACATCCTCACTGCCACCACTGTGTATGTAAGTGTGGGTTTATGTGAGTGTGTGTATGCATGTGTGTGCCAGGAGAAGATGAGGATGGAGACACCTACTCTCTCCAATAGCAGGCCAAGTCCTGTTGCTGTGTGGATGTTGCTGATAATGGCTGCAGCGAAGTGAGATAATAATTTCAATAGACATCAGAGCACCACTACACTCTGTATACTGGTATGCACACAGAGTGAGTGGTTATTTATACTGGTAATGTTATGGGATTAAAATAAAGGGGTTAGCCAGGAATGATGTAAACTTTTTGGACCTGAGCCTCATTTCCTGATCCCCTTGCAGTCCCAATACCCTGAACCAAGACAATTGCAATTTCTACACACAAACTACTGATCAGCACTTTCTCTTCTGTTTTGGTCTTATTCTCGCTAATTCTAATTAATAAGCCGCATGAAACGTCAACTTACCACGGAGTATGATCATGAAAAAGACCATTAGAATGATGCAATTAGCCAGAGGACTCCGATGAGAGATACATGCAATCAAAGTGTGAAAAGAGGAAGAGAGGCAATATAGCAGTGGGCTGGGGGAAGGAGAAAAAAAGCAGATGCTGCAAAAAAAAGGATCTTCAAAGAGAGGGATGGGGTTGAAAACCCAGGAGAGGGAGCTGCGGGAGCACTTGTCTTCTAAGGCATAAATGTGACAGAGCTCCTCCTGGACCAGAGAAGACATAGAGAACCAATAAGCAGCAGGGGATAGTTTCTTCATTTATTTCTCCTTTTTTAATTTCCTCTTTACTCTTTTGTCTTAAAATGTGCAAATGTTGTAATTAAAAGTGTTAGTGATCTGTCATTTTAGTGGAATTATGCATTAAGATAACAACTCATGTTTGAATCAGACAACTTTAGCTGCCTAAACATGGTTGACTAGTGTATATGCATGTAATGATAGTTGTTTTCCCAGTAAGAGAGTAGAGTGTCAATCCACAGCTGTCAAGTCTGATGACTATGTGCCCTGCAGCAAAACTGGAAGACACAGTCAAATGTTACTATAGGATGCAACTGTATACACTGTACAGTGCTAAACCCGTTCTCAGTGGCTTTCTTCAGCACCACGGACAGAGACAGAACGGACAGAAAAGGTGCCTAAATGTCTTGAATTGAACATGCTACACACTGTGCTGTCGGTCTTGTACTGCATATTGTACACTTAAACAGTAAATCAGCATATAATTAATAGCACATTTTCAACAATCTGACAGATAGCACCTTTAATCGCTATTTATTCAGTTATAAGTTGTTGTTTTTTCTTCGTGTGAAAATTGCTTTACTACTCTGTTGTACATTTGTAATTAAAACAATCATGTGAACTGATTTTTGAATTTCTGTCCAGGAGATTGTTTTTGACTACAGCAATCCACTGGAAGAGGTGGGCTAAAACTTCCAAAGGCGGTGTGACTTCCCAATTTATGTCTATGAGTCAAGCAGTCACCCTCTTCATTTCCTATTCCCATACTGTAGCCACTGCTAATGAGTCACCTTGGCAAGTTTTGTATTTGTTGCTTTTAATTGCCATGCTGTGATTTTTAAGATGACTGCAATGGTGATTCATCTGCATCTGCAAAGTGTCAGTCGGTGTACGCATGCATTCACTGGTGTGATGATCTCTTTTCAGGGAGCTGATTCTTGAAGTGCCAACATAAGCTGGCTAAATTTGTTATGTTAGCAGTAGTTCACTGTTGTTTTGCCTCGTTTTTCTTTTTCTTTTATTATCTTCATTTTCCCCGTTATTGGCAATTTTACTGTGCTTTCAATTTTCCCCTTCTCAAATTTCTTTTATTCAAAGCCATCTATTTTTAACTGTCCCTCATTCTGTTGTTCTCATCCTCATTATTGGTTGGCATACAGTCTCCTTCTCATGATTGCTACAGCATTTGCATGCTGCAATTCCTGTTCCAGACTTATTGTAAGCTGAAAATCAATATGTATTAGAGTGAATTATTTTACATTTTCAGAGGCAGATTATGAGCAAGTGTGGCCAAACTGCCAAGGATGGTGGCCAGAGCTTTCCTTCTCAGTTTAGGTACTTAACATTTACATTTACTTGTTTAGCTTTCCTTCTCCTTTTAAGACATGTTGGTGAATGTAACTTGTAGTTACTTTTAGGTATTGCTTCTTTTTTAGTTGATACTATAAACAATAAACAAACTGACTAGTACTACTAGGATAAAAGTATGTTATTAGTTGATGAGGATTTTTTTCACAAGGCCAAAAGCAGAGGCATCAGACCGCTTCTACCATTTAATTTATTTATTGTACTCAAGGGCTCCTCTGAGGTGATTACTTTACTTGAGGAGAGCTAGGTAGGAGTTTCTAGTTTTGAAAATGTGTTTTAATTTTGTGATGTACTGTACTTACATAAAATTCTCAAGAATGAAGTAATAAAGGTCTCTAAAGACCCAGAGCCCCAGACAAATTCTTTGTCACGAGAGTGGGCTGACAAGGGAAACTTTCTCGGGCCATTTCTTTTGCCCCAGACAACCAGAAGAGACGCAAGACGGCGTGCTGACGTCACACGTTGCTGTAAGTACTGCCCTAGAAGGCTGTTCGAAACTAATGTAAACAGAGCTGCCTTCAGTTGAAAGTGATGCCTTCTGATGCAGCTGTCTATTACGGTATCAAGGCAGCGAGGCAACTGCCTTCCGTTTCGAACACAGCCCATATTTAATTCAGAAATTCAATGTTTCCAGAACGTTCTGAGAACGTCCTGCTGGTGTCAAGAACGTCGCTTGGTAATGTTCCCACAACGTTCCCAGACAGTCACGATGTGGAGTTCTTTAAAGGGTTTGGGGACGTTATTTGGTGGACCTTCAGGGAACATTCAGGACGTTCTGGGAACGTTTAAAGGACAATATTTAATTCAGAAATTCAATGTTTCCAGAATGTTCTGTGAATGTCAGCGGTTGTAAAAAATTGCTTGCTGCCCGCGCTACCGGGGGTGTCTGTGCCAATGAAAGGTGACAGCACTCTGGAATATAATTTTGCAGGTCACTTTTATAAGTTGTGAGTAGGGCTGAAACGATTCATCGATTTAAATCCATGCATCAATGCAAATTCTTTGCATCGATGCTTCATTTAATCCACTTAACTATACAGCACAGTGTTTCGTACGGACATTTATTACTGTGGCACATCGCACTTTTGCTGTGAACACGACTTGATTATGATGCCGCTGTTTGCAAAGTGGAAGAAGAGAGAGAAAATAGCGAGGGACAAAGAAGAAAGTGTTCAAAGTATGGGATTATTTCAAGATAAAGAAAACAACAACTCTGTAGTGTTACAGTCCGTACACCATAACACGAAAATGATGTCGCCTCAGCAACAGCACGACGGCGCCTTATCAGAAAGCAGCCGGTGTTCTGCCAGCGGACCACAGACAAGGTAACGCTAACAGCAACTTAGCATTTAACTGAAATCTAAGGATAAGTAAGGATAAACTATGGGGTTTATCCTTACTTCTCCCTACTCATGGGGTGGTGATGGTGCAATGGATAAGGCTATGCCTTTGGTGTGGGAGACCTGGGTTCAATCCCCCACTGTGATCCATCCACCAGTGTGTCCCTGAGCAAGACACTTAACCCCTAATTGCTCCAGAGGTGTGTGACCTCTGACATGTATAGCAATTGTAAGTCACTTTGAATAAAAGCGTCAGCTGAAGTATGTAATGTTATTTATTAAATATTGTAAGGACTCAAAACATCTGAAGAAATGGACTTGGATGGCTGAGACTGATTAGAAGTTGAAATCACATGAGATAATGCAAGGATTAGATTAATACAGTGCTTAACGTCAACAATTGCATACTAGGAGTGTGCGATATTTATCGTCTATGATAATATCTTAATTATGTTGTTTTAACAATGTGTGAGCAGACTTTAATGAGTAAGCTATATCACTCTTTGCAAAACACTATCAAAAACACCTCCTCCACTCAGTCAATGCGTCATGCATATAGTACACATGTGCTAGAGTTAAACATGAAATGGCTGCTGAAAAATGCATGACTGAAGTTGAGTGAATAAATAGCGTCAAGCAATATAACATCTTATACTGTACAATACTGCTAAACTAAGGCCTTACTGGTGACATGCTGCTTTCTGCTCAGCTACCATTCACAGCGTTCACACACAAACTTGCTCCAGCTCCGCTCACGCATGCACACTGAGCGAGAACGACCTAGTACTATACTCAACATTTATAAACATATTTCTGAAGGATGACAAATATTGTCTAATTGTAGTTATTGATAAATTCCCAGAAAATATTTAGAGATAAGCCTTTTATTATTTTGTACACCAAACTGTACAATCCCTTACCTCTATTTATCCTTGAGGTTGATGAGGTCATGTGCAACCACTGGCAGATGTTTAAGAACTGAAAGAAAGAGTATGGATTTTAAAGAAGACAGGAGGATCCTCTTATCCTCTAAATTCACACTCAACATAGACAGCTGGGCTACCCACCTACAACACTTACCACATAATGGTTTTGCAGCAGCCAAAGTTAGATTCCGGCTTGGGCCCTTTGCTACATATCTTCACCTCTCACCACCTCTCACCGCTTAAGTATGCTGTCCTCACTGGGCCTGTATGACATGCGGAGAACAGATCAAATCCCTGACAGACTCACAAACTTTGGTAATGTCCTCACCTGATAACAATATGTAATTTTTTAGCAGTAAATTTAATGGTTTTGACCCAACCCATGTACAGTTTTCTCATCAACAGTGTTTTGTATGTTTTAGGCAGGTAGCGGAAACTGAGAAAAAGATCACTGAAATTCTGCCTGTCTTTGTACACAAGTTACACTTGAGGGCCAAAGTCATCTGGTTCAACTGGAACAGATGATGCTGAGATTTCTGTGACTTAGTACAGTCTGTAGCAAAATATCTGTGTTTCTGTTACATCTGGGCGGTTAACTTGAATATATGTGAGTATCGTTTCACTGGACGACGTCATTCCACAATATGCTCCTTAAGGTGAGCTATTAACTTATGGTTAGATCTTTGGTATCTTGACATTGGCGTTTATGTAACGCTATTGCACATTTAAAGCAGTAACTAAACAGCAGCCCGACAGTAACTGTAGCAGGTCAGATACATTTTCCCTCCAGTGAAAAAAATAAATAAAATAAAAGCCTGCTTGCAACCGGCTCCAAACCACTTGAATAAACAATGTGGTTTACAATGAAGCAGGTATCGTTAACCCCGTATGTCTTAACTGCCTTGCCACAGAACATTTCCTCTGTGGGTTTAAAGTTAACTTAACGTTACAAGCTAGCACTTTTTTGCAAGAGCAACACAAAAAAGCAGAAAGGACAGCGTGAAAACTGTTTGAAAATGTAACGTTAACATTCACTGGCAACACGGTCGACCATTAATGTTTTACCTAAAGTGACCCAGCAAACATTAACTTAACGTTATTCGAAACCCAAACAACCTTCAAGAAAGAAATTCTGTGCAACTTACCTCAAGAAGGAATATATCCTCTCCAGGATCCAGAATCCGGACATCGCGCTTCAATTTCAAAATGTAACACAATCGCAATGGATGCTGGGTGTGCAGACAGGGCGCAACTGCTAACGTATCGATAGATATCTATCTATCTATCTATTCATCTATCTATCTCTCTCTCGCTGCAGTTAGCTACTCTGTACCTTTTTTATACAGTCTATAATTACTCTGAAATAATTAAAATAAACATAATAGATGTTGAGGTGTTGGCGGAGCACTCGCAGTGATATGAAAAATAATTAGTTTCACAAGTTTGTTTCTAGCATAGTAACTTTGATACTATTAAAAGTACACAGTGAATATGATGTTTGTCATTTAAAAGTTAAGTGTGTAAGTTAAGAAAGTCGCAGTCAATCATAGAACTGTTGAAAAATAGGTAATTAGAAAGACCACAAACCCAAAAGTCACATAGCCTATTTACCATTATTTACAGACACTTTAACATTATATGTTTTACCTTTAAATCAACATTATTGAACAAACAAACAGGCCTACCATATTTTTAATATATAAACTCTGTAGGAATGAAGTTATGTTTGCTGAATGTTGAAAGGTTTTATAATGTAAGTTTAAATGTACACATCAGTAAAATCTGTAATTTCGAAAGAATTATAGACCTACCATTAATTTTAGGTAATTACTTGCTTGTGACATTATTGTATTTTCCCATTCATTTTATAAAATGGTTACATTTTCTAAGTAAAAATGTGTGTTTTCTACATATTATGACAGTAACAATTCTTGATTGAGGGTAATTCACTATCTACTACAATGAAATACTATTTTCAATTGTATGGTCTTTTACTGTTGCTAATTGACAGTTTTTGCTTTAATTTCTACAAAAAAAAGTCATGCCATGGAATCAGTGCATATGACTGTTCCTATTCCACTCCATGACCATTTTCTGGATATGTTCATCCATTTGTAAACCTTTTAATACAGGTGTATGGGGAGGGGTATACTGTACTATACCAATTAGATACACTGAACCATACTGGAACATTCGGTTAATGTCCCAAATGTATCTTTGTAACATTACTATGTGACCATAAAATAACCAATATGGAATGTCCCCCTAAAGTCATTGGACGAACGTTATAATATGGCCAACTTAGACCCATATGAGTACGTTCTGATTAAGATTCATTGTTATGCAGATGATACTCAGTTATATCTATCGATCAAGCCAGATGAAACTCATCAGTTAGCTAAACTTCAAATGTGCCTTCAGGATGTTAAAACCTGGATGACCTGTAATTTTCTCATGTTAAACTCAGATAAAACTGAAGTTATTGCTCTGGGGCCTAAGCACCTCCGTGACGCATTATCTAAAGATATAGTTTCCCTGGATGGCATCACCCTGGCCTCCAGCACCACTGTGAGGAATCTTGGAGTTATCTTTGATCAGGACATGTCGTTTAAGTCTCACATTAAGCAAATTTCAAGGACCGCCTTTTTTCACCTACGTAATATTGCGAAAATCAGGAACATCCTGTCTAAAAATGATGCAGAAAAACTAGTCCATGCATTTGTTACTTCTAGGCTGGATTACTGCAATTCCTTATTATCAGGCTGCTCGAAAAAGTCCATTAAGACTCTTCAGCTGATCCAGAATGCTGCAGCATGTGTTCTGACAGGAACCAGGAAAAGAGATCATATTTCTCCTGTTTTAGCTTCTTTGCATTGGCTTACAGTAAAATCCAGAATAAAATTTAAAATCATTCTTCTTACCTACAAAGCTCTTAATGGTCAGGCACCATCTTATCTTAAAGAGCTCATAGTACCTTACTACCCCAAGGGTTACTTGTGGTTCCTAGAGTCTCCAAAAGTAGACTAGGAGCCAGAGCGTTCAGCTATCAAGCTCCTCTCCTGTGGAACCAGGTTCCAGTTTGGGTTCAGGAGGCAGACACAATCTCCACATTTAAGAGTAGGTTTAAGACTTTCCTCTATGATAAAGCTTATAGTTAGGGCTGGCTCAGGTGAGTCCTGAACCATCCCTTAGTTATGCTGCTATAGGCCTAGACTGCCGGGGGATTTCCCATGATGCACTGAGTTCCTCTCTCCTCTACTTTCTCTCCCTCTGTATGCAACCTCATCCCATTATTGCATGTTACTAACACAACTTCTCCCCTTTCTGGTAGTCTTGTGCTTTCTCGTCTCTCTCCTCTCTCCTATCACTTCCTGCAGATTTTCTGGCTCTGGAGCTGTGGAGTCTGGATCTGTGGTTGCGGGTAACCTGCTGCCCCCGTGTTCCTGCTCGACACCCTCTGCTGCAACGACTGTTGTTGCTAGTCTTATTGTTATTATTGTTATTATAATCATTAACATTACGATTGTTACCATTAACACTATTATAAATATCTGTACCATTTTTCATTTAGTCTATAGCAACATCACCTTCACTGTCTGTACCTCTGTGTGTATATTGTGTAGGCTGCCTCCCTCCCCTTTCTCGCTCCTTACATCCCTCTCTTTTTCTCTCTATTCCTCTCCTGCTCTCTCTCTCTCTCTCTCTCTCTCTCTCTCTCTTTCTCCTTCACCCCCAACCGGTCGAGGCAGATGGCCGCCCACCCTGAGCCATGGTTCTGTTCGAGGTTTCTGCCTCTTAAAAGGAAGTTTTTCCTTGCCTCTGTCGCCTAGTGCTTGCTCTTGGTGGGAACTGTTGGGCTTCTGTAAATATCATCACAGAGTACGGTCTAGACCTGCTCTTTTATGAAAAGCGCTGTGAGATAACTGTTGTTGTGATTTGGCACTATATAAATAAAATTGAAATTGAAATTGAAATTGAAAGTTAGTAACAAAACGTTTTCATATGGCCAACAGAGGACCACATGAGCGCCACCCCCACGTCGATCCTCGCCATTCTTTCCTCACACAATGAGTTGTGTAAGTCATGGAACAAACCAAGAAAGAAAAAAAACAAAACAAGAGCTGCTCTTCACGGCTGACTACGTCCCCTCTGCTGGACAACAGCAGCGTGACAGAAACTAAGCAGCACGGCTTTGGAACGATGCCTCGGGTGGAGGAAGCACTTGTGAGCTATCTTTCTCCCACCCTCGCTTCATTCCTTCAGACGCCGGCGGTCCCCACCAATCCGTGTCGGACGACATCCGCTTTGGTGGGCAAGGCCTACATGGCAGCGGGCTCGGGACATGCTAGCCGCCAGCGAGCTCTCACCAGTCTGCCTGCCTCGAGGGGTTGCAGCTGGAAAACGATCAGGCTCGTCGCTGAACAATTACTTCAACAGACGCCTCACTCACGGGACGGGGCGCGGTCATGGACGGCCGCTTTGCCAGAGGCTCCTGGGAGGAGCATAATTTCTCCTGGCACATAAATTGCCTGGAAATGTTGGCAGTATTCAGAGCTCTGAGGAGTTTTCTGCCCGCCAGGGCTGGATGCCATGGTGCAGACGTGGCCGAGGCTGCTCTGCTCCCGTGGGTTCTGGAGCGGGTCCGTCTGGACGGCGTCAGTCTACTACTAGTAGCCCCATTTTGGCCAGCAGGAGTGTGGTTCTCGGATTTAATATCGCTCCTCGAGGGCCCGCCCTGGCAGGTCCCTCTGAGGAGAGACCTGCTGTCCCAGGCGGAGGGCCAGATCTTTCACCCGCACCCCGCCCTGTGGTAGCTACGAGTCAAGCCCCTGAGGGGGCGCAGTTCCTAGAGGCGGGCCTGACGACAGGAGCAGTTGAGACGCTGCTCAGCTCCAGAGCCCTGTCGACGAGAAGTATATACGGCCTGAAGCGGAATGTGTTTGCCACCTGGTGCAGAGAGCGGGCGGTGGACCCAGTTACCTGCTCGGTAATTACTGGAGTTCCTCCAGCACCGTTTCTCCGCGGGCCTCTCCCCGTCCACGCTCAAAGTGTATGTGGCTGCCATTGCAGCATTCCACGCCCTTCTGAGTGATGGGCCCTTGGGGAGGCTTCCACTGGTCGTGCGCTTCCTCCGTGGAGCCCGGAGGATGAGACCCGTGACTCGTTCCAGGGTTCCCACCTGGGACCTGGCGGTGGTTCTCGAAGCGCTGGCTGAGGCCCCCTTCGAACCCCTGGAGTCAGCTGAGGCCAAGCACCTGA